CCTGCTGTTTCTCCCTGCCTGACAAGTGACTGGCCTACACGCTGAGAACGAACGATCCTACCCTAGCTCCTGTCTCTTGCTCGGTGTTTCTCCTGCATCGTGGCTCTGGCCTCCTGCTCAAATTTCTCCTGAAATTGAGCTGCCAGGTAGGTATCGGGGGGATCAGGTATCGTAATTTTCGCGTTTGAAGACTGGCTCATTCGTTGCTGGACGGTCAATTCACTCGGTCTACCTTAGCCTTGGCCGTCGTGTCAGGGTTCATCATCGCCAGGACATCCGGAGACAACTTACTCGTTCTCGCATTATAGAACGCTTTCAGGTGTTTGATCTCCTCCTCCTTGAAAGCGATCTGTAACTCGTCGTACTTTTTTATCCATTCGTCGCGATCCTTGGTTTTCTCCTTATACTCGTCAAACTTGGCGCACAATTCTCTCCAGTCTTTGTCTCTCTTCTCAAGAGTTTCACTGGTCTCCGCCGTCTGTATTTCAATCTCGTTCATTCTCACCTTCTTTGATGGTGGAGCTGCGGTTGGTGAGTCCACAGAATGCGACGGGGCCGGCCCATCGCGTGATCTTTTCGATCCAAAGAGAGGCTGCGCTGAGGAACTGGGGCGTATCGGCATTGGCATTTCTCCCAGCCTATAGTCTCTATGTTCACCCAGACCCGCTCACGAGTCAGGTCATGCCCAGACATCTCTCCGCGTCTCCATGGCATGAGTTGATTCCTGCTCTGCTCGGCGGTACCGGACTCACGGAAAGCCAGCATTAGGACTACTTCTGTGGGGCGGTCCCCACGTCCTTCTATTTTCCTAGCATTCAGGAGAGCGACGGTGAACATCGCCAACTCCGGTTCTTCCTGTCCGAAATTACAATCAACCAGGCGTTAGTATATCTCGTCTAGAGTCTTTCCTAGGCTTGCTGAGATGACATCCATCAAATCGTTAGTATCACTCATATTTCTTTGCGTAGATCTCGTGTCTTCTTTCTTCGATTTCAATTCAAATTCGATAAACAAGCGTGTGATTGGTCACGATCTAAAGAGACAAGTCACAACTTAGATTGATCATTACGAGCTGTTTCATCTCCAAGATAAAACTTTATTCACATCTTTTAAAAGCAGTCCATTGAAAATCTATTTATGTTTTTAGTTTAAAAGCTAGCAACAGGGTGGATAGTCCACCTGCGATCCTGTCAAAATAACATAATTGAGCGCTGTCACCATTCGTGCCTGGAGTATTCCAGGTTTCCATGACCTAAACTTCACATAAAACATAACCTAACAAAAACATAAAATGCGAATATCACAAATCAACACTATCACATAAAAACCTGATACCTAGTGAACATCCTAAAACCTAATCCTAAAGCCTAAAAAGTAAACCAAACACAAACTATTAGCACTGAATGTGGCTCTACCATATGCTCAGACGATATTTCCTATGCAAGTATACCTCTATGTCCGTTTCCGAAAATATTACATGTACTAGGGCATATAGTTCTCTTGGATGCAAATTTCCCCCTATTGTGATCATAGACTGGTAAAGAGAGAGAGAGGTCACTCATTTCTCAACCAGGAATCCCTGAGTCGAGTTAGGGCCAGTACCAAGCTTACGGGATTTACGTGTTGTCTATCAGTGACTTAATTACCGGGAAACACAAATATTTCACTGGAATCTGTGATGCAACAGGGGGCAGCGCTATCATCCCTCCTACGCCAGGCCTATGTTTCCATATAAACTCGATATTCTTGTGCCGTCTCTTAAAGTCGGCCGCTAGCGCTGTCTTAAAACTTACATCCCCGGTTATCGCTATAGCGCACGTACATTCCGTGAGTATGAAATCACTATCTGTGATGATAATGTTGTTTGAGTAGTGGCTCGGTAGATCACAGAATGATTCAAAAATTCGTTCAAGAGGCGGTTTTTTAGCGTTTTCGCTCTCTGTTTCCAGTTCTTCTGTCTTTCTTGCCAATTTTTAATTTTTGATCCTATAGTTTTCGGTGTGGGTGATTTCTACCTTCACTCCCAGGACAAAAATATCCATTGACGTCCCCGTCGATCACCCAGGATCGAGCAGATCGAGATTAGATTGTGGAATACATAAAGGACCACCTGGATTGACCCAGTTGGACTCAGTGTTGTCGTTACTGATATTTTTGTTGCTAATCTGATCGACATCTTGAATCGTCAAGATTGTCTCCTTCGGATCTGCTCGTCAAATCTTGTTCGTGCATTCGTTCCATCTCAGGTTCGAACTCCACCTTCGATTCAGAGTGATCGTCGATCCAGTCTCGTTCTGTGCCATCGACCAGTTCATTCTCATGTGTCACTATATTTCTTCCAGGCCCACTATCGAGTCCATTGCATCGCTCAAAACTATTCGTTCTACAACAAAATCCTCACCATATGGGTTGTATTTCTTCTTGTTTCTTCCTCTCTTGCCCTGACGTGTTTCCATGGTGAAGGGATAACCAGGCTGCACTCTTTTATTAACTTTAGTTTGCTCTGGGCAGTCCCAGTCTTCTTTGGCATATGGGATGGGAGGGTCTCGTCGTTAACCTCCACTCGCTCAGTTAACTCCAGGTCCACTGGCAGATCACAATCATCTACCACCTCATTCCCGTGAGGCTCGCGCGTGCCTCTCTCATTCACCTCGCAGGCAGGATCCACTTTCTAATAGACCTCATCCTGCATGTCGGCTGGGATGCACCATTCCTCCGATGAGACATTGTGGGGCTTGCTGTTCTCGTAATGAGCTGCCCGTCCGGTACTCAACCGATAAAAACGACCTCCTTGGTGCACTTCAGTTACTTGAATTGGACCGCGCCATTTTTTTTAGCAACTTTTGGATTCCCTTTGGTGGAACTACCTCCTGGAACTGAGTAGGCTTTTGCATCCGCAGTTCTTATCAATTCTTCGTTTTTGTCTATTTGAGCCTGTTGCGTTTTCCTTCTGCATAGATCATTAAGTTCCTGCTGCCTCCTGATCACATCACGCACGTATGTTTGTGGTGCTCTTTTTTTTCCTTCGTACTCAGGGTACAAGAACGTTAATAGAATGGCTTTCTAGTGACCGATTAACATCATATGCGGGCTGATTCCCCGTGGTAGAGTGTTCGGTGCTGTTATACGCGCCCATTATTTGCGGCAAGTGCTTATCCCAGTCATCCATGTACCTTGAGCAATAAACCCTCAACATGGACACTAACGTGCGATTCTGTCTTTCAACCAGGCCATTCTTTTGTGGGTAATATGTGGTCGAGTGGGCCGGTGCCACCTGTGACATCTTCATTAACTCCTTTGTGAGATCACTCACGAAAGCTTTACCATTGTCTGATTGGATTGTGATTGGGCAGCCGTGTCTCGCTGTCCCTTCATTTATCAGGTGGTCTACGTTTCCTCGGCTGATGCTGTCATTCTGTGTACTTTGTGAAATGATCAATCATTACCAGCACTTGATTATAGCTCGTGGCCGTCATGCATAATTTCTTATGATCGATTTGCACCACCTTCTTGAATCCTGATGACTCTATTGACTGAAGAGGAAATCTCAGCTTCCTGGGTTCCTTTGCCTGCTGACATGACAAGCATGCAGAGATCCACTTCTCATTGGTCTTCTTCAATCCAGGCCACCCAAACCGCTTCTGTATTCAGTTATACACTTTGTCCACGCCTTGATGGCCCATCTGATCATGTGAACGAAAGAGCAGTTCAGTTTGATATAACTGTGGTAGCACTATCGAATTATATTTGTAGAGGTCTTTGTCCTCTTCCTCGCGTTTGCAGGCCACGATCCCGTTCTTATTCGAGTATATAACTCAGTCTTTTTGCTGAGGCTGTCGGCGTTCTGGTGCTTGTCATGGGTTCAATCCTCTATGGTAATGTGATAGCCGTCAGGACGCACGATCCCGCGACCAACGTAGCTTTGGTCCATCGAATAAGTCTTCAGCCAGGCATGAACACGATTGTTTTCACGCAATTTGAAGGGAGCACTCCCTAAGAAGGCTCTGTGTTTTTCAAAGGAAGTGATCACCGCGAACAACTCTGTGTGAACCGTACTTCATTTCAGTGTCGCTCAGGACTTTACTTCCGTAAGATATTGGTATGAGAACAGTCCTCCCATTCCACTCTTGTTCCTGGTGATGTATGCCCGATACCGCAACTACCGATGCTTTTGTATCTAATAAAAACATCCCCTTTTCTGTCGGCATGCCGAGGACCGGAGCTTGGCAAAATTCGCGCTTGATGTTCTCAAAGGAGATCTGAGCCTCGTCAGTCTAGCTGAATTTCTTACCCTTATTTCGCATCAACTTCTGCACGGTTTTTATCTTGTCATCAGACCCTTTGATAAACTCTCGGTAGTAATTAGCGAATCCGAGGAAGCTCATCAATTGCGTGTCGGTCTTCGGTGCTTTCCATGTCAACACCGCTTCAACCGCTTCGGGATCCGGTCTGACCCCGTGCTTATCTACAAGACGACCCAGATACTTGATTGAGGCTCTCAGAATTTCGCATTTGGAAGGTTTGCACTTCAGGCCGGCCTGTTTCATGCAAGTAAAGACCTCGTTTAGTCTCTCTACATGGTCCTCCAGCATTTGTGTCGCAATGACCACGTCATCAACGTAACACATTATGAGGTTGCCATACTTTTTAGTTACATTCTTGAGTGCCTGGGCAATTAATCGTTGGAACGTAGCCGTCGCATTGCATAGTCCAAAGAGCATTCTTTACCACTGGAACAGCCCAGCTCACACGCGGAGCCCTTTTTTCCTCGATCTTGTTTTCGAAGGAGCACTTGCCAGAACGCAGAGCCTAAATCCAACGTCGTGAAAAACGTTGCATCTCCTAACTTGGAGAGACTCTCATCGATGCGGGGAATCGGGTTTGCGTCCTTATCTTTACCGCATTCAGGTAGCGGAAATCACAACAAAACCTAAGTTGCCCTCTTTCTTTTTTGGCATGACCATGCCGCAAGCCCACGGGACTTCAACGGTTCAATTATGTCATATTCCATCAACATTTGGATTTCTTTTCCGCATGCTCCCCTCAGCATACCCCTTGATAAAATCTCGGTAATAATTAGCGAATCCGAGGAAACTCATCAATTGCGTGTCGGTCTTCGGTGCTTTCCATGTCAACACCGCTTCAACCGCTTCGGGATCGGGTCTGATCCCGTTTTTATCTACTAGGCGATCCAGATACTTGATTGATTCTCTCAGAACTCCGCACTTGGAAGGTTTGCACTTCAGGCCGACCTGTTTCATGCAAGTAAAGAACTCGTTTAGTCTCTCTATCTGGTCATCCAGCGTTTGTATCGCGATAACCACGTCATCAACGTAACTCATTATGAGGTTGCCATGCTTTTTAGTTACAATAGTGAGTGCCTGGGCCAATAATCGTTGGAACGTAGCCGTCGCATTGCATAGTCCAAATGGCATTCTTTTCCACTTTTCCACAGAGCCTAAATTCAACGTCGCGAAGAATTTTGCATCTCCTAGCTTGGAGAGGCTCTCATCGATGCGGGGAATCGGGTATGCGTCCTTTATTGTTACCGCATTCAGGTAGCGGAAATCATAACAAAACCTAATTTGCCCCCTTTTTTATGACTACACCGCAAGCCCACGGGGACTTCAACGGTTACTTCGACATGTCATATTCCATTAACATTTCGGTTTCTTTTCTGCATGCTTCCGACGTGTGTGGGGTCATTCTCCTAGCTCCCTCCATATGAGTTACCGAACCCTCATCTATTTCTATCTCATATTCTACAAAATTGCAGCAGCCTACATAAGCCTTATGCTTCAAAAAAAACGTCTGCGTTCCGATTCAACACCGCTCTGAGCCAGTCTAGCTCCTTATCTGATATTTTGCCTTTCAAGTGCTCTATCTCAGGTAGGACCGGCCTGTTTGAAGCTAGTTTTTTTTTCTGTTGGTCTCTCGGGAAAATTCGAACAATTAGAAAGCTCATCGTCTGTCTCTGATTTCATTGGAAACAACTTTTTAAAAAATTTCAATTCATTTAACCTGTTTATTATGCATTCTTGGTTGGCGTGTAAAGGACATTCAGTTACTTCATATTTCTTGAAGTTCTCCACATTCTGATACTCTGTGCTCAGGGGCAATGCATAACCAAGTTTCTTGCCTCGTTGTATCGTCACCGTTGTTGCCTCTGTGTTCAACAACACACTCACACACAGTCCACTCTGAGTGAACGAGAAGCTTCTTCCTAAAATAGCTGAGCTTTTACTGTTTGGCTTGGGAGCCAGACACACCTGTCTGTCGTTACAAAGATCATTCAGGTACCTCATCCTAAATGCCACTATTACAGCGTGATTTGGTTTTAACCTAACCTTCCGATCTAGGAAAAATGGCACCTTTGCTTGGTTAATCAGGATTTTACTAATTGGTTTCTTTTCATACTTTCTATCTGGGTCCTTGATTCTTATCAACCCGTCGTTGAGGTCAATCGTGACATCGAAGTTGCGCACAAATGCTCGTCCTAGGATGAACTGGTCGGACTCATTAAGATTGTCGATGACCAGGAAATCCATCCAGAGATGCCTCCTTCCTAGGTGCAACGAGATGATGGGGGTCCTTCCGGTCACGTATATTGCACCCTGATTAGCCAATTTGATATTAGTCGGAATCAGATCCGACCTATCAAAACCCATGTCGGTCCAAGTGCTCACAGGCATGACACTGACCACTGCTCCGGTGTCTAAATTTCCGTTCACGGAGAGTTATCTGCACTGCACGTCTAGTACATGCGCGGCCATATCTACTTCTTCACAGCCTATATCGACTCACTGCGTCTTGTTCAAGCATGGCGTTGTGTCCAAATCGTCGAACTTTAAGCTCTTCTCGACAGATGTAGAACCGGCTACTTGGTCACTTATATCGGTAACGTGAGCTTTCGTGTAAATGTTTATGCCGTCCACATTCATCAGAATTGGATATGGGCCGCAAACTTCGATGTAGTGTCCATCTACTTTCATTAGTCTCGGTCCACCTGTTGTGAGTAACACTCTTACGGCTCTAGAATCCAACTTGCGATCTTTCTGCCTCAGGTAGACCGCGTAAATGTCCAGGTGTACTGCCATGATCTCAGACGGTTCGTTCAAGTTCTTCACCACCTGATGGCCCGCGACAGATATGATCGACATTCTTTTCGTCCCCCGTTTCTTGTCATGCCGAAGTTCTTCCCCGAGATGACATTCAACTTCAGGCCCTGCTTCTTGGGTTCCCGGTTATCCTCTCTTTTCGCTGTTTTTCCTAAAATGTCAAGTTTCTCGCGCAGCTCTGTATTTTCCACTCGGACCTTACCCACAGCTCAACCTCTTTGGTGGCAAACTCTTAATGAACGTTCTGTAGAGCGGTCCGTGCCGCTAGACGGTAATTTTTTTTGAGCGCACTAACTGACTCTGTCTCCAGGTTAGGGGCAATCTCATCATCAGGTTAGGTTTTCACCTTCTTGGTCGTGAATGTGCCTTGTGTAACCTCCTTCTTCCGCGACTACGCTTCGTTCATTAGGCGTGCTCGGCTAGCCTTGACTCTTGAAAGTGCCTCTTCATGGCGAGGATGTTTCGCGTCCGCCACTGCATCCCAGAGTTGAGTGCAATCCGACTTAAAATGTCCCTTCAAATTGCAGAAGAAGCATCTCGGTTCATTCTTCATTATGATTCCTTCGTGGTCCTCGTCGGTTGCATCAACGTCGTCAAGAAAGTAACCTATCGCTTTCATGTTTTGCTTATAAGTAGAGCAGGCTGAAACGTGATTTCCAATCGAATCACAAATTGCACATGACCTCCTCTTATCCATGTCATCACGAGGTCTATAGCAACTGGAAATCGCGCCGGTATTCGTTCCGATGTAGTTGCAGTAATTGCTGTAACGATTTTGCGCCTATGGGTACTCAAGCAATTTCATGCTCAAATCATTGGGTGTTGGTACTGAGTCCACTGACAAGGTGAAATGTGTGGCCAACATGGTTTTCAGCTCATAACTTTTTACTCCATCATGATTTTTAAAACTTTGAGGCAATTGCCAAGTTGCGTTCCGAGATCGTCTCGTCGGGGTTACTTCACCATCTGAGTAGCTTGAGGTCATCCAAAAACTTGTCTAAAGATTCATCATCTCTTTGATGCCTCTTTTCAAACTTCACTATAGCTTGATGTACCTGCATCCCCGAGCCGAAACGGTTCAGCAAGATGTCAATATTTTTGCGAGCACTGTCTAGTTCATTAGTCCTTTTCGTCATTACACAGCTCAGGGCCGTGCCCTCTAAGTTGCTTGTCAGTGCGCTGCGTTCCTGTTTCTTGGAGAGATTCTCCTCTTCAAAGTGTAATTTTATCACTTCTTTCCAGGTGTCAATGCAGCCATCTAACTCATCCTTGTAGGAGTTCGGCTTTTTGAGTGTCCTCCGTGACCTCTATCCTTTTTCAAATGACTTCGAGAGTTTGGTGATGATTGTTTCAAGAGATCTAATCAAAGCCTCAAACATCATCGTGTCCTTCGAGACGGTAGGTCAGATCTGGCACTGATCTGACTTGTGGCCTTGTCGGTAAACGTGCTCCCGGTGTGGCATTCGCTTCTGGCGGGGCAGGATCCTTCCAACCCGGCCTCGACGTGGCTGCTCTGGGTCTCTCCCTATGGTCGGGCTCTAAATTCGTTCCGATCTCGGCTGCGCCCCTGCACAATTGTCGGTTCCTGATTCGTCAGTTGCCGGACGCGAGTCCCTCATTGGAGCGGGATGATTCTCTCGGTTGCTGCCGCTCAAGATCTCATCAAGCTTCCGCATCATAAGGTCAGCTTTTGCATCTAGTCTTTTCTCCAGGTTAGTCATCGTATGAGCAAAGGAGTTGTCGTGATCGTTCAACAATCACTCGATCTCTCTCGTCATCTTAACGTCTCTTTCTTGTGACTCCTTGGTTGCCAGCGCCAAGGTTTCCGCCTGGCACTGATCACTGTTCCGAATCAGCTTGGCCTGATCCCTTCTCTCTTGTGACTTCGCGTCTGTCAGCTCGTCTCTCAGCCTTTCATGCCTTTTTTGAGCCTTTCTCCACCTCGATTCATGTTCTTGGTCTGCAAACAGTGCACCGGCAAACATGTCACTCAAGTCGCCAGCCGTTCCCAGCACTGGGGTAAGACCCAGGGACGATGACATCAATTGAGGTTACAGCCTGGTGATCGACGATGCACCATCCTTTTGTGTGTCCATCGACAACATCAGCCTGTCGTATGTCGAGGATGCTCCCATCAATATCCCGTCTGACATTGGTCTAGTTGGCGAGTCAGACAACGCTTTCTTGCTCTTGTAATGTCTCGGGCTAGGTGTGAAGTCTATGTCCGAGTGCATCAGCCCCGGACCGTCATATCCAGAGGACAACCCATCATTACGGAGTGACGTCATTCGCCTTGAAGCGTACATCGTACATCGTCTTGAAGCTTCTTTTCGCTTTTGAACTTGTTTGCTCTTCTCTTGGACTTATGCTCGACATCATCGCGTTCTTGCCCTGCTTCACTAGAGAGGATTGTTCCTTATCCGACTATTGTTCTTGGTCTCCAATTGGGACGTCCCCTTAAACAACAGTTCCTCTCGTGATCCGACCTCGAAACGCTCCGAGGTTTGTTGAGTTTTCTCGGTTTCTTCTCGCTCAAAATCCTCGCCAGGTTCTTCCAGGTCCTCGCGATGGTGGTGGTCGGGTCGGATTAGCGTTTGCTCCCCTTCCTCGAAGGGATCAGTTGGTTTCACGTTAGCAGCTCCAGCCTCGGCGTCGCGCCCTTCATTGCCATCTCGATTCTTCTCACTTCATAGTTTCATTCGGCTCACTGAAAGATCACTATAACCTTCACTTGCTGCTTCACAAGCAAAAACGTCGGAGATGCTACTAATCGAGGATTGGCTACGGCGTGATTTAAACCTCCGCGGGCTTCCCGTGCTCAGCCTGGCAATCTTAGCGAGTCTCTTAGCGAGTTCTCCTAGCGAGTCTCTACCTTGAATGTTTCGTGATAAAAAAAAATTCCACAAAGGAGGTTTGTTAAATCTCTTAATTCACTCCGCAGGGTTGCTTCGGAGGGTTCCCCAAAAATCACAAAAAAAAGTATTTTCACCACTCTAAAGCCTCCGATTGCAATCTAGCTTGCTTGAAACAAGGTGGGTTGACCCGGTCAACCTACCCAGTAGGATGAAAACGTGGTTTTATAAAAGTTTCTGCCGCTCGGAGGGTTGCCTAAAAGTTGGATCCTCCGTACTAACAAATTGTAAAAAGTTTTCTCACCTGAAATTATCAACCTAAAAAGGGTTGCGGTTCAGAAAAGTGGTCAAAAACTTCAGGATTATCTCAATCGGTTCGTTAGTCTTTGAGAAATCAACAAAAACGCGTTTGCCAATTTGGCATTTTTTCACTACCTATATAGATTCTCAGAGACCTTTTCCGCAATTCTTGCTGAAAGTGCTTAAAAAAAATGAAACGAGCGTAGTAGCCCTGTACAGCACTGGAATAATGCAAAAAAACCGGACCGAAATTGGTTTGGAACTAAAAATTTGGTCATAAACTATGAAATATGGACCCTCCGATTCCTTCCTTTTCCGATCTTTAAGTCACTAGCTCTATCCTCGGATCTACTCGGGGGGGTTTTCAAAAATGGTTCTAGTAACCTAGCACGCTACGCTAGCAGTCTCCTAACGCAAAAGTTTTTATTGCTTTAAATCGAAAAACTCAAAAACTCGATCTCAAAACATATTGACGAAATTTCGAAAATTTTGTTTGAAAAAGTTTTAATTTCGCCAATTTCTACTAAATCTTACTCCGCGCGGTTTCTTCAGTTAAGGGGCTCGAACTGCGTAGTAAGGGGCTCGAAGTGTTTTTGGTCCCGAGACCTTGGGATAAGCGGGCTCATGTTGACTTCCCACCTAACCAACCGGCCCCCGGAATTTTTGGTCTTAACTAAGTTAGAAAGCTAAAAAGTACCAGGCGGAAGTTCGGTACCTTCCGCCTAATACAGAATACAACAAAGGACGGTAAGGCCGCCTCTAACTCGGGCATACGTCACTGATCCGGCGGAATGGCACACTTGTTCTCAGATCGCAAACCAGATCTTGTCGGCAGGGACAGACAGACACTTTTGAATGGGTCCATATCATACTTCCCATTCGTCAACCAGTTGAAAAACATAATTCCTAATAAATGAAAAAAAAAAACAATTGGAATAATACGCAGTTTCATAAAGTTTTCTTTGTATGTTGTGCCATGCGTGCCGATGATCCATATAAGCGTTTTTCTGGATTTGTTTGATTCTTCTGATGGAACTCGTGACCGCAGTTGTGACGCGTATATGACGACGGACAGCACGCAGACTTGATAAAGAGGTAATTTTGTAATTAAAGGAAGCGTGAATGAAATGTTCCGTTTGATCCCTGTACGCTGTCTCAAGTTTTTTATCAACATGTACGTTCCAGTTTAAGATTTTTTTTTGTGAACACGCCCAAATCTCTTATATATTCTGTTTCTGTGATAGGTTCAGAATTCAGTGTAAGGTGCAGTGGCGATGTTTGGTTGCTAGAAAACTTTTTCACCTGACATTTTGCGTTACTGAAATTCACGAGGTTTTGACCTACCATTTTTTAAAAATGTTTACATTAGCTTGAAGGTCACAATACAGTTGCAATTAGACAAACAAAAGCTTATAATCGTCTGCAAATAAAAAGCAATCAATGGAAATATATCATCAGTTAAATGGTTTATGTAACTGGCAAACAATAAATGTCCTAGAATACTGCCCTGTGGTAGGTCGCTGGTGGCTAACATGGTACTTGAGACTTCATCAATGATTTTAACACACTGGGTTCTATCATCTAAGTAAGATTGAGTAATTTGATGAAAAATGAGCAAAAAGCGAATGCAGATAATTTTTTTAAGGAGATGATGAGGCTTTCTATCAAATGCCTTTGAAAAATCAAAGTAAGCACAGGCAGCAGCCTGATTCATGTCCTTCATACCGTAAAGCTGGTCACAGAACGCAAGTAAATGGGTTATCGTAGATCTACTGCGGTAAAAACTGTGTTGACAGTCTACAAGCTTGCGTCTGTTTTGAAATAAATGTGGTAAAACAGAATTCTCTCCAGAACCAATGATAAACGTGGTAATATACTGATAGAACTGAT